TCTCTACCATTCCAATACCAGGCTACTGAAATTCAGTGCTCCACCACGGTGGTAAGAGACAATGACTATGGTGATCTTAAACGAACATTGAGTGTTTTTATAGGGAGGACACTTGCCAGACGACAACTTATTACATCTTGGAACACTGCTGCCGAACGATTTACTGGAACGGGAAAACCTGAACCGCCCAACTGGCGCCACAGCAGGCTGTTCGGAAAGCCATTAAAGCGATTCCGCCTTTTACGGAAACGGGCAGCAGATTTTGTTTTAGCGTAATAGTATGCGACGAAAGGTCACGGCCTATCTACAATCTGTCAAGGCCCTTTGGGCCGAACTGTGAAAAACAATTTAACTGGCCAGGATTACTAACTTCCTGACCAACAAGTGATCGCCATGCGTTGTGTGGCTTCACTTTAGATCGGCTGTCAGGCACCGAAATTCAACGCAACTTTTGACTGTTGAAAGTGAATGTGTCCACATGAACAGATGGACTTTCCCAGCCCTCTTCGAATTCGGGCAGTGTTTCCTTCTCCACACTAGTTCACCTAGTCTTTCAACGAGGTATGTTATTGCCGTGAGCGAAATCCCTGTTGTCACTCATCAAGTGAATCTAGATATTCTCCACTCTTCAGCCCTTCACTCCTCCGATGTCTTAACGACTAAAATGTACGCGACTTCTCAGCTTTCGTGCGACCTCAACTAAAATGTTGCGTTCAGGCTTACCCACCATTTCTGGTATGGAACATAACATAAGTGGATAGGGTTCTCCGGATTGGTATTGGGTTCGCACCGAGATTACTACGACAGACTTACCTCAAGCGACCGGTTAGTTTTGGAGCATACACAACATGATATCAATTGACTCGGATGAAATTTATCCTCATCTTATCCTGACGGGAAATCGGCCCGGACTTGTGTTAACTGTTCAATCCTACTCACTTGTCTGGTCTCCACGACCAGCCGGTGAAGCTACACAGTGCTCTTCTATGGCACTAAATTTCGAAAGCTAGAAGTATCTCCCGGAGCATGTCAGGAAACTACAGCTAATGGTTTTAAGTGTCAGCTCGACGCTCTTGTGTGGTAGCATTGAACATTTCCTTTTCCCAACTCCCATCTTCAGGTTTCCATTTTCTTTTTTATAGCTTCCTCATGCTTCAGTATTGCTATTAGTTTAGAGACGTTCTCCCTTTCGGCTCTATCCTACTCTACCTAATCGACCCAGCAGACACTGTTGTGAGATTGGTGAGTAGTTATTGGTTGGTCAAGTTATGTTGTGGATGTTTTTAACTCACATATACTCCGGATCACTCTTTCGGTCCCTGGTCTAACGATCCGCTGAACCCTCGCGGGTTTCTCCTGTTCTTCCAGCTTCACTAGAATTTTTACCAACATATCGACTCCATGGCAGAGTTATTTTTGGATCCTGCAATCCGATCTTGGGTTTTTCTACCTTTGGTGATCATCACTTTCCTGTTTGGAATAATTCGGCACTACATGACGATAATATTCGCAAGTGAAAAGAAAGCCGGATTGGAAAGTGTCAGTGATGGGTATTTCAGCTTTTCTTACGGTTATATCGGTTTTCAGTCACGCCTTGTTAAGGAGTCGCTTGCTGCGGGAAAATGGAAAGTATATCCCCACTAGAGTATGCTAACTTCCGACTTTTGTACCTTCTACAAAGGCCTTTAAAATGCGCAAGCATTTTTTCAATGACAAGGAGACCGGTTTTTTCCGGAATCAAAGAAGAGAGAATTCTGTTGGTAACCCAATGACTGGTAACTACCTTGATAACTCGACTATACCCGCAGATCCATCCATGGTATCAGAAATGTTGAAGGGGAATGCTGTCAACATGGTACCGATGATCGTCATCGGTAGTTGGATCAATTGGGCTTTTTCTGGCTTTCTGACAACCAAGGTCCCCTTTCCGCTTACGTACAGGTTCAAACCCATGCTTCAAAGGGGCTGTGAATCCTTGACTTCTTTGGATGCTTCTTGGTATGTGAGCACACTTTATTTGATATTAAATTTCCTAGGGTCAGTTCTGCTTCATGGTACTTCTTGAACATCTTCGGTTTGAGGAGCATGTACGGGCTTGTGTTGGGGTCAGACAATGCTGCGGAGCAGCCATTATTCATGGCGGATCATGCTGCACCCGCAGCGCAGCCCCCACAGGATATGCAAAAGGCATTTAAAGCCGAGTGGGAAGCTTTGGAGATGGTTGATCACCAATGGGCCTTGTCGGATATCGAATCTCGCCTCCTCGCTCATTCTTGTTGACCTCAAACCTTGTTCCTTTCTGACACTGCATGTCATCCATATGTTTCACCCTGCTATGTTTCAAATCGGTTTTACTTGTCATACCGCACTTTTGGTTTCCCTGTGTTGTAGCTGGTTAGATGCCAGCAAGCTTCTGCTCCATAGCTTTCATTGTTAACACAGTTGAGGATCATGTGAGCATTCATGACCTGATTCACGGTAAACAACTGTTTTGCGCTTTCGCAGCTACGTAAACCAGATTGCCTAACACAATCTCGTGATCTCTCGGATTTTCTGTTTACATACTGTCCCAAGCATCTGCATTGGGGATCCTTTTAGTCCATCTCAATATGCCATAATCCAATGGGTTTTCCGATTCGCGCTTCTGCGTCAACCTCTCCTTGCGGCGGCCATGTGCCTGATTTTGATCCGACACAGCTAGAATATCCCCGTTTGATCACGCAATGGCAAGTATGGGATCGCTTGCTCCCCCTTTTTCCTTTTAATTCCGTCTTTCTCAGCAACGACCAACAGTCTCCTGGAGTTCATAATCGTGGTGGCGGTTAACGACCGGTAGACACCTGGTTGGGTATTCACATCGGGCGCAGCTGCATCTGGTGTCTTACTAAGCAAACGCTATCAAACAGGCGAGAAAATGTAGTCACATACTTACAAACCAGCTCCAGTGATGATGCTGCACTGCCACATTATTAGCTTGGGTTAGTAAATGGAACCGGGTGCAGCGTGCTTAACATGCGTTGATACCTAATCAACTTACCCGTTATGTCTTCGATAGTGACCTATTATGGCCACGCTGATCAACAACCAAATCGGATTGGCTGAGGCTACACGATCGCAAGTACTGCAGCATCAGGTTCATGATGTCGATGAGTTAGCCTCCACCGGCGCTTGTCGCTTCCACAACTGGGAATTTTCTTCCTGCTGCAACCGTATTCTCTTGTGCACCTGGGCAACTACATTCTTGATGTGATCGCGCCATTGGCGTTGATCAATCGTCAGTTCTTCTGAACACCTGAAGTCAACCTTCATTCGTGATACATTCGCTTCGACCATATCCTAGTAACGTGGCTTATTTCGGTTATCTGCATGCAATCGGTATCTTGGTCCGATCTATACGATCTACATGTCCGAGCCACCTCAGGTGTCGCAGCAGAAATGGACACTCCACACCATAAATGATACTTCAACGGATCACTTCCGTTCCTTGAATTGTGTAACACCAACGGATGGTCAGAATCCGACTCAAGCACAGCTGAAGGAATCACTCCAGTCATCATCATCATCATTATACACGTTAGCTGCAGGTGGAAAACACAGCTATTGTGCCGCAATACAAAGGACAAGAAGAAAAAATCAGTGGCACGCCGGCTGAGTTCCCAGTAACGGATGGACATCGTTCCGGAGAGCTAACAGCCGGCTATCGTGCCGCAAAAAGAGTTATATTATGCTTAACGAATTCGATCGTGATTGGAGGGGAGGCTAAGCAGGAGCGGGATAAACAAAGGAACTCACAACACAAACATCATTGGGGCCGGCTCCTAGCCATATCAGCAAGTGTGTCCAACCAAACATGTTCATCGTCCTTAGGACCCCAGCCAGGCAGTCGGGATGCACCAACCGACGCCAACTTCGAAGTGAGGGTTTTCATTTCTCTCGACCAAGTCATCGCTTGGCCTCCCTTCCTCCTCTTTCAACCCCACACCCGGCGCGCAAACAATGCACGACACTTGGAGTCAGTGCGCTGGCATGCGCAACACGTGCCCAAGCTATCGGAGTCTGGTGCGTGATATAATGGTGCTGAGCGATTCACTCGCTATTACTGCATCAAATACATGACGCCGAACACGTTCATTGCTCACGCGATGCTCCCACCAGATATGAGCTAAGCTTCTAAGGCAGCGATGATCGAATGTGACGTGCCTCTTTATGTCTGTCGACCTGATGGTCCAGGTTTCACAACCATATAGGAGGGATGAACGGACGGTTTTTTTTTTTTTTTTTTTTTTTTTTTTTTTTTTTTTTTTTTTTTTTTTTTTTTTTTTTTTTTTTTTTTTTTTTTTTTTTTTTTTTTTTTTTTTTTTTTTTTTTTTTTTTTTTTTTTTTTTTTTTTTTTTGCTGCGTTATAAACTCTGCCCTTCAGGGCGAGAGTAATGTCGCGTCTGCGCCACAGTTGGCGGAGATTGGCAAAAGCATCTCGAGCTTTTGCTATACGTTTCGTAACCTCATCTTCGATACCACGGGGCCTAATATAGCTGCCCAGATACTTTAATTCCTGAACGACATAGCTGATCATCACGATGCGTTAACGCAGGGATGAGTCTTTGCCAATCTTGGAGAAGTACTTTGCATTACGATGAAGCAAAACAGTCCAAAACGATAGACAGCCAGTGATACTGAAGAGTGACGACAGTTTGCCATAAACCCTAACTTTGCCTGAACTGTGCACGTACAGCGCTTTGATAGTTTACTTGTTTATCAGGCACACCTTTCTTCAGTAGGCAGTCCCAAATGGCACATCGATTGACTGGGTCGAAGGCACCTTTTATGTTACGAAACATGACAACGGGTGCTCGCCAACAAACATGGCGCTGCTCCAACATTGGATGCAAGGTGAAGATGTAGTCGATGCAGCCACGATTTCAACGAAACCCTGCTTGCTTTTCATGAATCTGGCTCTCTCGGGTGCCAGTCAGTCTGTGAAGAATGACAGACACAATCCATTTAGAGGCAATGAGGTCAGACCGATCCCTCTATGATCGCCGCATTGCGAACGGCAGCCTCGCTTGAAAATTGGGACAACGGCGGAGCGGCTCCAGTCTGTCGGGACAGTCTCCTGCCCCCAAAGTTCCATTAGCAGCTCTTGTAAATGATCTACTAGAACACATCCTCCTAATTTGAAGAAGGTTGGGGGAATTCTATCTGCTTCTGCGGCCTTACGCAATTTTAACAACCTGATCTCACATTCGACTTCTGCGCGTGAGAGCGGATCCAACGAGACGACCTAGGGAGAAAGGTGCTCAATGCCCGAAAAAGAAAGCCATAACTCAGGTTGGTTAAATTGCCTTGCAAAATGTTCGGCCCAACGCTCCAAGTGTTTTGACATGTTGCGAATCGGCTGCCCACTCTCGTCACGCGTGGTCTCGCTAACACCAGGTCTCCTGCTGCCTGTTTCACGTATCAGACGGTTGCGGCTGTTTCCATCTCCGAGGCGTGATGAGACCACTAGGCTTCGCGGTCTTTCTTCAGGCTAGCACGCAGTTTTGCTCTGAGATTTTTGCGAGTTACATTATGTTCGCTTCCAGCCGGAATACGCCGGCGAGCATCGATGTTCTAGAGCCTGTATAAAAACCTAATGTCCAGTTTTGTCATCTGTTTTGCCACATGAAGACATGGCTGCTAATAGTAACGTTTGGCAACTATGCGACCAGTGAACATCGACGGCGTTCAGTGGGCGCTTACTCAGCTCGGATGCCAGCGCACTTTGATACGCATTCATTACACCTGGCTTCGCCAGCTGACTGGTGTGGATCCATTCACATCGACGTTGCGGGCGTTCAGCGAAACACACCCGGAGGTCGGCGCAGACAAGTGCGTGATCAGAGTCTACGCTCGTGCTCCAAATCGAGCGACAGTTTTGCCCACAGCCTCTTCGGCGGTAACTAAGCACGATGTGATCCATTTGCGTCTAGGACTGGTCCGAAGCTAGTTTGCGCCAAGTCACTCTGCTGCTGGTGCTATGTCGAATATTAGTGCTCGCGAGAAGACGAAAACCTTCACACAGGTGTAGCAACTGCTCATTGTTATCGTTACGGGAGCCCACACCATGTTGGCCGCCCAGGTGAAGCTCCTCAGAGAACTATTTTCCAACTTGGACGTTTAGATCGCCAGCCAACACCACCGTATCCGTGCTACTTCTGTAACGACAGGGACCGTGAAGTTGTTGATAGAAATCATCTTTCACCGATTCAGTGCTACAATTTGTAGGTCATAGGCCGCAGTGATAAACAGGCGCCGTTTGTTTCTGCGTGACTTCGTAGCATAGAACGAACCAGCTAATCTAACGCCGCACATCCGACTTTTGACTGGGATCCAATCGATCAGGGCAGCTTCAGCCCAGGGACACAACCAACACCGACGCCAACTTGACCTGCATTTAAAGCTATACCATTGCCAGGCATGCGCAGTGAGGATGTGTCGCATGTGGGAGACCGCAGGGTAAACACGGAGCTCGAATCTTGCATGCGAGTTTCTGCTAAACAGCAAATATCGATCGATAAGGTCTCTAGTGTGCGGGCAAGTGCTGCCTGTTGGCCAATCTGCAGCAAAGTGCGCACGTTGAGGCATGCCAGTCTTGGCGAGACGCGAGGACTCCAAAAGGAAACGGATGAACTGACATCCGCTTGGTTGAACATGGACCTGTCGCCTGGATTGTAGCGACTCCCTGCGACATTTTGGATTGGCGGCATCCGTGTCCGAATTTACCTGTCACTGTAACCCTCACGGGGATGCCAACAGGACGTCTACGCCTACAGAGGGACCATGAGTGGCTTGTGCTGCACCACCCACAGTTCCACCCACACGCCCCATATCCGGTGTAAACCCGAAGTAATAAGACCGGAAGACATGTGAATGAGGGCCACGTTTCATCAACGGAGCCGGTCCACGCTCCTTCAAAAGACAGAACAGAAGCGTTTCTGCCTAATTGGGAACTCATGCGCTCTAGTCGTACACAGGGTGGTGGCTGAGCCGTATGCCGTTCCACACAGGATGCATGAAATTACTCTTGGAACCTATCACCGTCACAAGGACGGTGCATTGTGTCCCCTCCAGCACCGGCCAACTGTCTCCTGGAGCCAGTATGGACGAGGCTGTGGGTAGTCGGCAGGTAGGCACCCTGTCAATATTCGCATCAGGCGCAGTCACACCGAGGAGCTCAAGCAACATCTAATCCCTGAAATGCAAGAATACTCAACACGCATGCAGAAGTACCACACCCGCCGCCTTATTAACCTGGATTGTTGAGTCGAATGTGAGCGGACGCATCGCGCTTCTCCTCCGCGTGCAATAGTGACTTCTCCTGCATCTGAGCAAACGCGCTTTTCATCAGCCCTTTGGAATTCGCACCGATCAACTCTGCCTTTGATTCACAACATCTGAAATCAACATTAGTTCGTCATAAACTCACCTTGTTCATATCTTGATAATGTTCTTTTCGGTTTGCCAGAGATCCGCTTCTCTGCGCCAAGTTGGCCGTACAAAAGATGTATGAGCATTCTCATCGAAT